AGCTTGATCGACCCGGGTGCGAATCCGGAGCTCGGGGTTCGGATTTTCCACAGTACCGAAAACCCCAATGTTTTCTCCTGGAACACAGCGATCAGATTCTACGCGGGGTCGGATCCCCCGACCTCACTGCGTTATTACGTGGAAATGCTTAGAAGGGATTCTTTTCCCGATAGATACACGTTTACGTTCTTGCTGCAGGCCTGTGGAGCTGTTTTTGATCTGGGTTTGGTGCAACAAGTTCATTGTCACGTTCTGAAACTGTTTTCTTCTCATTGTTTGTTTGTGGCAAATTCTCTGCTCAGTGCGCGTTTGGCATGTGGCTCAGAATTGGAGGCATGGTTATTGTTCGATGAAATGCCTGAAAGAGATGTGGTTACGTGGACTTGCATGATCTCGGGCCTAGTCTCCCTATCCAATTTTGTGGGAGCTTTCCTCGTCTTTCGAGATTTAATCATCGACAAGAGCCGAACGCAGCCCAACCCAATCACCATCATATCCATAGTGTCGGCCTGCGCCGCATTGGGTTGCACAAACCTCACCAAATGCATGCACTCCTATCTAGAAAAATCCGGATGGCTCGAGCTCGATGCCTCGATTGTTAATTCACTAATGGACGCATATGCAAAATGCGGGGACTTGTGCTATTTTCGAAAAGTTTTCGATAGCATACTGATTTCAGAGCGAGACTTGTATTCATGGACTTCAATTATCTCTGGATACGCCATGCTCGGACGTGGGCCCGATGCCCTCGACATGTTCTTGCAAATGGAGAAAGAACGTAAATTCATTGCCGATTCGGTTACTTTTGTTGCGGTTCTGTCCGCGTGCGCCCATTCTGGTCTGGTCAAGGAAGGTTTACTCATTTTCGAGTCAATGGTTACGAAATATAAGATTAAGCCCGATTTAAAACACTACGGATGTGTGGTTGACCTCTTGGCTCGGGTTGGTTTGCTCGAGCGGGCTTATGGTATTGTCGAAAGCATGCCGATGGAGCCTAATCTGGTGGTTTTGGGATCCTTATTGAACGGCTGTAGACTCCACAATAACTTGGAGATAGGGAGAGCTGTTTCGAGAAAAATCGAGATGTTGAGTGAGAGAGGTGGGGCCCACGTGCTTTTGTCCAATATCTATGCGAACGAGAGCCAATGGGGTGAAGTTATGAGTATCAGGAAAGAAACGAGAGAGAGGATGACGAAGAAGGGGAAGCCACCTGGTAGAAGCTGGATACAAATACAAGACGAAGTCCGTGAGTTTGTGGCCAGAAACAAAAGTGATGATCCGGAAGCTATGGAGCTGCACGTGGTTCTTGAAGGTCTGGAAAAGCTTTCGAGATTGTAGTGATTTGGTTCGAATGGGATCTCGTGCTGTCAAATTCTATACACATTTGTGAAAGTCTATATTTGAATTTCTGTAGAAATCTGATTCTGTTGTTTTCTACTCCCAAATTCATTTTCTAAACAACAGTGTTCTAAACATTTGAATCAAGTCCTGAGACAATTGTGGGGTAAAGGCAGAACATTAAACATCAACTGTACCATAAATCAATTCTTCACATAGCAGCACAAAAGAAGGGACACTTTAATTTGAATATCATGATGTTCTGTTTCCACAAACAATCTGCACATGAATTTACAATTGAACAACCAAAACACTTACAAACCAAGATTTTCTTCAAAATCTTGTTTACAGAAAACAATGTTAAAGCAAAAACAAAACGACAAAAAGAGAATGTGACACAAGAATCAGGAGCAATTTTCTGCAACAGAATCAGATATGCCTTTCTTAAGCACCATTTTTCCCGAGTCATTTTTCTTGAAGAGCTTCTCGACCACTTCATTCCAGTTAGTTTTGGGATTCCTATAAGCTGATTCTCCCTTCCCCGAGGAATGATCTGTGTTCTCTGTACGATTTTCAACACTTATGTCACCCGAAGAACCCTCTTCAGTGCCGGCTAAGGATGATTCTTCGGGTGATGTAACAGCATGTGGTATGTTCAAGCTGATGGCTCTTTCTAGTGCATCCTTGTGTTCTTTCTCTAGTGTCACCTTCCTGTCCAGTTTCTGTACTTTAGGCGGGGTCATTGGGGTCTCTTTATCAAGCTCCTTCAAAATCTGAAAAATGGCAATAAATTAATATTTTCTTACAAACTTTTGAGCAAACCTGATTATATATGTCATAATATGGCCAATATTGATGGTCTTCAAGATTTTCTTATCCTATATTTAAAATAATGCCCCAAGACAGATAAAAATGCCGCAGAAAATCCTCAAGCGAGTGAAGTAGATAATATTTCGTCTCAAAAGTTGATGCTTAAGCCTCCAGATATATGTAAATAAAAAACTCGTTCACTTGTACTTACTTGTAAGGCCTTCTCTGCCTCTCGTTCGATCCAAAGAATAGCATGATCAGAGGTGGCATTGCTTGATAAAACAATGTGCTCAAACCTTCCATCCACCGGAATAGCGGTTCTTACCTCTGGAGGGAACCTTCCACATCTGAACAAGTAGTTTAGATCTCTCATACCAAAAAAAGTTGCAAATAAAATTGTACTGATGTGTGAATTTATCTAAGTACCATTGAACCCTTGCCAAGTTCTATGAGCATGACAAATAAGGAATGAGCAAGACTAACGATACAAATTTCACACGCAATAGGTATTCAGAACGTACACGTTAGTAAGATACAAAGATTCACTCTATGAGGTGATTGGACTAAAAGAAATATCCTAAATTGTAGGCCTTCGATCGAAAAAGTTTAGAACTGTACTGGTAGTATTTATGGATATCTCCTCCGAAGACTCAAAAAGGATAAAGGATTAAAGAAACTGGGCATAAGTAGCAGATTAAATAGTTCAATGAGAGGTTACTACCAAAAGAAGAAAATCATCAGAATCACCTCACCTTAGCAATTGATCCCCAAATGATTTCAAGTGTAAAATAGATGGGACCAAGTTTTCTAAAGCTCAACAGTTTCATAGTTGAGTACCGTCAGTACGAAAATCATCATGTATCTCGATTCTTTTTTTAATGCAATTTACCTGCAAAATTTTCTTTCAACTATGTGATATATTCGACCGGGTGCATATAATCTTCTTGGATCTCTGAGCTTTCTGCCTTCAGGTATGAAGGTATCTCTCAGGCACACGAGAAACAATAAGCAGGGCAAACTGTCCAAAGCATTCTGGTTTTAAACCGATGGTAAAAATTTACTCCTTTTAAGAGGTAAGAAAAGCAAAGCTAAGCTATCTAGATCTTCTTCTAGTTTTTTAGTACACCATTAAATAATAACAACTAACCAAAATATAGACTTGAAAATATCTTCCAATGGAGTCGGTGTTCGGGGCAAAAAATCATCCTGAACAATGCCAAGACAAGAGTATCATCAGTTCATGAATTCCACAAGTACTAATTATATGCACCATCCAGAAATCGTAAGGCAAACTGCCTTTACAAATTTCATTCTAACCCTTTACAATGAACCTCTAAAGACCAAAAAAAAAAAAGGGTAAATAATTGCTGGCCCCTCAAATTGAAAATCCAATAGATTAGTTATGTCAAGTGACTTCAGGCATGCTTCACATCCAAATAAATACGTCAATTTGATCTTGCATCCTCAATATAAATTAGACGTATCATAAATTCATTGTAAATATGAATATCTTTTTCAGTATAATCACTTTCGCATTTTCAATTTTTTAAGCATTACGTAGATTTTGTAACCGTTAGATCATCATGTAATGGTCGGAAATAGTTGATCTAACGGTTACAAATTCTGACAGAATGGTTCGGTAACGGGACCGTAGCATCTCCCTTTTCAAGGTCCTGCCCCCGTGGAAAAGATTAAAAAAGATCAATTATTTACCTACTATTTCAAGAAACGGTTTTGCGGCATTTAATTGAAAAAACTGGTTCGCTAATTATTTGAGTCAGACAAAAAATTGCTCCCAATTTCTCAATTATCAACCAAAATAGAGAAAAGAGAAAAGGGAAAGAAAGAAGCAACCTGCAACACCACAGAACATATAATATCGGCATACTTGACCGCCAAATTGAGTGACATACACCTCGCAGGCGCCACCGCATAGCACCTGATCAGACTCCTTGGTATCCCTCCCAATCTATCCCCGTGATTGGCCACTATCACGCTCAACAGCGCCGCCACGCCCGACCCCAGCGAATGGCCGGCGAACACCATCTTGTACTCCCGCCCCGTCTCCTCCCACAGCCTCCCCAGCGTCTCCGACTCCTCGTTCAGGACCCACGCAGCCGATTTCAGAAGGCCGTGGTGCACGTACCCGCCATCGAACATCTGTCGGCCCAGCCGGTTATCCAGCAGCAGCTTGTAGTCGCTCTCCTTCACCAGGTTCAGGCCGCGCATGGCCAGCACGATCTCGCGGTGGTCGTGGTCCAGGTATATTAGATATGGCGGGGCCCGGCCGCCTGTCTGCTCGTAGGCCACGCGCTTGACCACCCATTCCGGGTTGACCCCGCCGGCGGGGGCGTACCTGGGGCAGCTGAGGTCCGGCTCGTAGACGGCGAGGATGAGGCGGCAGATGCGGGGGACGGGGTCGAACTCGCCGGCGGTGGCGGCGGGCCAGGCAGCGCTGTCGTCGGAGCCGATGTAGGTGCAGCGCTTCCAGGCCCAGCGGACGCAGCCGAGGATGACGACGCACTCGACCCCACACGACACGGACATTTCATCGAGCGGGTTGTGCGCAGCTCAGGTGGAAGGGTTTGAAATACAGCGAATTCACGTGGGGAGTCGAGGCAGCGGAGAGTGGAGGTTCACGTGGGCCGGGTTGTAAATGGGTTATTGGTAAAGGATGGTGGTGAATGTGAATCAAGGATTGGGAAAGTGAAATCTATGGGCTTTGTTCTGATTCTTTTCTTTGATATTAAGCGTGCATTTTTTTTTTTTTTTTTTTT